TTGATGAAAAATAAAGCACATTAAGGGAATAGAAAGTGACAGGGACACTTTGTTAGACTGGGAGAGATCTTCTTGAGGAGCAAACATTTAAACATAGGCTTGAACAGAGCAAGCCCTTTGTCTATCTGAGCAAGAGTGTTCTAGGCTAAGAGACCCCAGACTTTCCCAAACTGTATTCACAAGTCTGTTGTGTAGATATCAGCCTGTATTTTACAAGAGGCTTTGATTGACATGGCTTAACAGACCACACTTTGAAAGTGGGGGCTGCAGCAGTGAGTAGTTAAAAGTGTGTGCCCCCCCCCACCCCCGCCCGCAACACAGGCATTTGAGGGTTGACACCCTTATCCTTGTTCCCTGCGGAAGCACAGCTGCCCAGCGCTGCTTCCTGCCGTCCTCGGGCAGCATGTTGCACACAGAGCTCAGCCTCCCAAAGAAGTGAGCACTGTTCACAGCGTGTAACGGGGGTCAGGAACACCTTACATCACTAGACTGTGAGCAGGGACTGTGACAGAACGTTGCTGGATAATCAGGCGGCTTCTCTGAAAGTCCGTTGTATAAGGCCATGTGTGATACATATTTGCTCAGGAAACATGCATTGAGCATCTATTATGGGGCGGGCACTTTTGGCTGCATGATTTCATCCCCGTGGCAACTCTGTAAAACGGCTGGCACTCCTATTTTACAGATGAAAACATCGAGGCTTGGAGAAGTCATGTGACTGACCCAAACAGATGTCCCAGTCTGGACTCAAATCCATAATTTGCCTTTGCACTGCCCAGCGGGTGTGGTAGAAAGGGCAGTGTTTGGAATCGCCGATCTTGCTTTGTAGGTGCAGCTTGAAGAATCTGCAAACTCTTTCCCCAGTTTCCTCTCCTCATTGCAACCTGCTCTACCTTCAAGGTCTAGTCCAAGTGCAAAGAGCCTTCCCAGAGCCATCCGGCTCTAATCCATCGCTCCTTCTGGGCTCCCAAAACAAGTCCCTTGTGTCTCTAACATTCCTGTCATTCTAACGTGAGTCGCAGTTACGTTTTACATTTTTGCCTCCCTCACTTGGGTCTTTTTGGTCTTTCTGATTCCACTGTGCAGGGCACATGGGAGGTGCTCGTTAAATGTTTAATGAAATGAACTTGGCTGTAGGCTCACAACTTATTCCTATTCCAACATCTCTTAGCACCCCTTCAAGTAGTGGCCCCTGCACCCAGGGAGGGGGAGATGAAGGGATTGTTTGATCTAGGGAGGGTGGCAGGTGCCCGAAGACCTGGGGTGGGGGGTTGCTGTGCAGAATTCCTCCAAAGACTCCTGTACGCGCTCCACGGTGCTGGCCAGTGGGGTGGATTTCCTGCCTCTAGATGCTTGTAGCTGGCCAGGAGTGAGGGCTAGCAGGGCCCCGTGCCCACTCTCAGTGGGGTGGGCTTTCTGTGTGTCACCAAACGCCAGTGCTCCCAAGGGGATCTCCTAGGTCCTTGATCGTACTTGGGGACAAGAAGGGCAAATCAGGGTGGGAACATGAGCAGGGATCTGAGGGTTCCCGGAAAGATGTCACCATGTAGGGTGGAGGCTTGTTTTCCACCAGTTTAGTGGCGCCTCCTCCATCTGTGCCTCAATGATGGACTTTTTCCATCCCCAGCCACTCTGCCAAGCTGATGATAAGACTGGTGTGTGTGTGCGTGTGTGTTTCTTCCCGTGTTGGAAAACTCAGATATTCCAGGCAGATTTGTCAGCAGCTTTTCCCTAAGCCAGAGGGAGGCTCCAAGCCACAGCCACTTACGTCCCCGCACTGAGCCGGCTCTGCGCCCATCACTGTGGCAGGAAGCCACTGGCTGGGGTTATGACAGACCAGTGACAGCAGAGTGGCCTGGATGACATCACGGCTATCCCTGCACCACCTCTGCCCCACCCATCTGTCTCTTCCTCAGTGTCTCTGGGTGGGCCGGTCGGTGGGTTGTGCTGCTCTCATTTCTGCCCCCTGTACCCCCTCCCCGCTCTTTCTCTTTCTCCCTTTCCCTCTTTGTTCCTCACTCCCATTTCTCACCTCGCCCTCCCCTCTCTCTTCACTAAGGGTGCAGGGAAAGGACCCACTGCTCCAAGTGGCAGTGATTCTGAGCTTCCAAGGAAAATAAACCGAAGCTACTTCAGGTCATCCTGGCCCCTTCCTTAGCACCTCCCATTGGGGCTGCCGATTAGGGATCCTTTGTGAGATGCAGGGGAAGCAGCCAGGACTTCCACCCTTCACAAATTCAATGAGGCAGTTTGGAAGCGAACCCAGCATGACCAGTTGCAGCCATCCTTTGAGGATGCTGAAGTGAGGCGGCTCCAAGAAAGCAAACGGTGGTTCCAGAAGGAGGGTAGCCAGGCCATGGTCAAGATCCAGCCTGTCCTTACACTGGCTTCCCTGGTCTCAGCTGTCAGGGTGGGGCGTGGCGTGGGGCACCCAGTGTACCACCCGCTGCCAATTGGCCTATGCTGGGCCATTCTTCACATCCTCTAAGGGACATTTGCAAACCCTGCCTCGGTGTTCTCAAGCTTGTGTAAGAATCACCAAGGAAGCTCATCAACCATGCAGATTCCTGGGCCACGCCCTTATGGGCTGGATTCAGGAGCTGGGTGGGGTCCTAGGATCTGTGTATTGAACCAGGACACCAGTCTCAGAAGAGGAAACTGGGGATTCTGAGAAAGAGACAGCGGGACAGCCCTGCAGCACCAAGGCACAAAAGCAGCACGAGACCCTCTGAGCTGGCTGTGCTTCCAGCCTGAGGAGCTGGGGCACCCTGCACCCTTCCAGCGGGGCCCTCTCTCACTGGAGCCAGCCTGTTTTAAGAAGACAGCTGCTACAAATCTGAATGCCACATGGACTCTTCCCAGATATTCGCGACCTTATAGCCAAGTGAGGATGTGCATAGAACTGACATTGTATTTTAGGCACTTTATGGAAATATCTAATCCATTCCTACCCATCACTTTCCACCCACCTGCCTCATACAGGCACCGAAGAGTAGTAGCTTTCAAATCCCAGTTGGACTTGACCTAAAACCTGTCTATGAGAAGTTCTCTGAGGTCAAGCTCAAGTTCCTTAATGTGGCCTGCAAGAACTTTTTGGGGCTGGTTCCTCCCATTCTGCAGTACCAACTTACTGCTTCCACTTGCTCTCTAGTAACACAGGAATACTTGTAGTTCCTCCTGTCTCTGGGTTTCCGCTGCTCCCGCTGCCAGGAATGCCTTCCATGCTTTCTGGGCTAGGTATCACCTGCTCACCTGCTAGGACTCCACTCGAGTCACCTGCTCTCAAAGTCATTCCCTGACACCCTCCCAGCCTGGCCCAAGCACCCTCCCCTGTGATGATGGTGACTCACTGTTAATACTACACTTGAGCTATGCATTCCTGTCATAGCACTCATGCTGTGACTTTGGGGTCACCTGTTGGCATGCCTGCCTGACCCCATAGAGGTGAGCTCCTAAGGGGCAGGCAAGGTGTCTTAGTCACCTCTGTAGTTCCAGCACTTAGCGTGGGGCCCAAAACACTACAGGTGCTCATTTCATGTCTGGTGACCTAAACAGGCTCTTTTTGTTTGCAGGGTTATGTAGGAATCAGGGCAGACAATGGAGAGGGAAGTTTAAGTGGTGTTCAGACACCTGAGATCTTACAGGTCGCTCTGGCCATGGGCCTTGGCCCAGTTGCTCATTTCCTGCTGAGGTGGACTCAGAAGCTCTGCAGGACTCCAGATGGGGGAGGCCCTCAAGCCAGCCACTCCACCCAGCGTAGAAACAGACAGAAGCCTTGGCGTGAGTGTGCCCCCACGGCTCATGGGTGTTGCTCATGACATCATTACAGCCCAGATCATATCATCTCCCAGAAATCTGCATTTGGCCTTCATCTCCCAGAAATCATGCCCTGGCTCTCTCAGTGAGCTCCGCCGAGCCCGTGGGGGCCACAGCAGCTGCAGCTGCCAGGGAAAACCCACTGCGGGACTTCCCTGAAGGGCCACTGATGAGCCGGAAGTGTGGGGCTGGAATTCACAGCAGCAGAGCCAACCAGAGGTGGCATAGGGCCCAGGGGACATCAAGGCAGCAGCTGGCCCCCGAGGCCCGGGGACTTGAACCTGTGGGCTTAAGGGACTCCATGAGCTTGAGGCCCAAATAGCAATCATGGAGCCACTTAGGCCTGATGCACGCCAACAGCCTCCAGCAACCCTCCCCTGGGTCTTTCCCCAGAGAAGCACACAGAGGGTGGCAGCTCCCGGGACTCACGGTTCCTCACTCGAGGCCCTGCTGGGTCCACAGGTGGAGGAAGCTCAGGATGTGGCGGCCCCCATGCAGATGGGCTGGAAGGATCTCTGGGGTTCTCTGGGCTCAAGCATGCAGTCGTCTCTGTATTGCAAAGCCCATAGCGGGGCTTCCACTCATCCCCCTCTCCTCCTGGGGCCATCTTACTGTGTCCCCTTCCCCTTGCTCCACCCCGCCCCAGGCTAGGTGGGTGGTCGAGCTCTGGCTTAAGGGAGGGCTGGAGGTATTGCATTGCAGGGGAAAGACTAAATTTGCGAGCAGTTTGCACAAATCGGAATGCCTTGCCCACCGCTTCCAGACAGAATGAGGGAATGCTTACAACGACCCCTGGTAGTACTCAGACCCGATATTTAGGACACAGCCTAAGTTTTGAACAGTGCCAGGGATGGGAAAAAGCAGCAGGAACTTAGATGGTGGGTTTGGGGTTAAAAAAAAATGGACCTTCTTTCTCTCTAAATTCCAGGTCCTTCGTACAGCTCCCCAAATGACAGGGCCGGGAGGATGGAAGGAATGGGAAGGCCCTCCCAGCAGGGGACATCTTCCTTGGGCTCTTCCCTGAAATTAGAGCCCATTTAGGGGAAAGGCGGGCATTGGGAAATGACAAGTCCCCATTTCCTAACACTTCCCACAGATCCCCACCCAGGCCCTGCTCTCTTGCCAAGAGCCTCCAGCTGGGAGCCTCCCCTCCCTCCCGGACACGGCCCAGAAAGCCACAGAGGTAGAAAAGAAGAGAAGGCGTTTATTCCGTTTCCTGAAGGTGCCGGTGCTGACTGCGAGGCCTGTGCTCCTGGGGTGGCCGCCCCTTACTGCTGGTGGCTGCGTGTCCAGGGCCAGGTGCTGCCTCAGAGACAGGGAGAGGGGCCCCGGGGCACAGCCACCTGGCCTGGGTCACTCATTTGCTCCATCTTAGGCTCAGCCAGAGCAAGAGTAGAGGGAAAATGAGGCTCCGTGTTGCCTGGGGCTGAATGCGGTCACTCCGGAAGCCACTGGCCAGCAGACCGAGCTGTGTCTAATGTGAAACGCCTTAGGAGGAAGGAAGACTGAGATGAGGTCATTTGACCTTGCACCCTGGGTCCCCTCTCTTGTTCCCCAGGGAGTGAAGCCCTGTAAACCAGAGAGGCAGGGTGGGAGGGCATGGGGCAGCCACTGTCCCCACGACCTGGCCAGGTGCAGCCATACAGGCCAGGGTGACAGAGGAGCAGTATCTGAGCCTGGATAAGATAGAAAGGTCAGCCCAGGCAGGGGCTGCCACACTGTTGCTTGTGGGTCTGGACAGAGACGGCCTGGTGCCCCAGTCTTGGATGTGCTGCTTCCCGGGCGGAAAGGCAGTGGAAGGTAATGCTGGTGGCATCTCCCGGCCATTGGCCAGGAGGGAGGTAGGCTGATGAGATGGGACCGGATCTCGCCCTGGGCTGGGTCCCATAGTGCAGGAGAGCAGTGTTTGAATCTTTCTAATGCTTCAGGATGCCTCGTGCACCCCAGGGAGCTCAGACATCAGGAGCTGCTGGGACTCTCCTTAACCTGCAAGGAAAGGCACAGGTGAGCTTCGCCCACCTGCTGGAGCAGCCCGCAGGCCACACCCCAGGGCCCCGCACTATCATCTTTCACTGAGCCCTCCATGTCTTCCGCTCTCCTCGTGCAGGGTCTTCATTCCCCAAGGTCCCTCTGCTTCCCGTCGCTGACTGCACATTAGAATCACCTGGGAAGCTTATAAAAATCCCCAACCCCGGCTGCACCCAGATCTCTTGGGCAAGACCCAGGCGCCTGTACTTTTAAAAGCTCCCCTGGTCATTCCAACGTGCAGCCAGGGTTTAGGAGGAGGGAAAAGGAGTCCCAATGGGTCACTGGGCTCCTTGGCTATGGCTCTGAATAAGGAAGTGAAAATTCATTAAAACAAAGTTTTGAGCTGTCTGTAAGTAGATTACAAATCACAGCAAGAAAAATTTATGTCGGCACTAAAATTGGAACTTCCTGCTCAAGAGAGCTGTTTTGGAAACTCTTTCCAAGATGCTGTGGAATCTCCTCTTTGTGGGTATTTAAGAGGGTGAGTCCTCCTCTTGCTGGACTAGGACAGGGAGAAGATGCCCCCCTCATCCAAGGACCCTCTGACACTCTGGGGACAGACCACAAGCTCTGCTCCTGGTTTCCCGACCTCTCGGTCCCTATTTTAAGGAGGCTGGTAAGAAGCAGAGGCAGGATTCAAATCTTGTTGGATTGCTGCTGACCCTTCCCACGCTGCCACTGCTTCCCCAAGGGGGGACGACGGGCAGGAGGCTGCCGGGGAGGGTGTGGGAGTGTGCACACGTGTGTACGTGTATGTAAATAGGCCACTAACCTTCAGGGCACGCAAGGACCATTCTTTCTTCCGAGACCATCTCTTTGGTGTTAAATGCGCTGTATGAAGCGCGACTACAGGATGGCAGTGTTTTCCCCCTTTCAAATGTGCTCACTTTGGTATATGGGTGGTTGGCAACTCTGTCATTCTCCAATTTTCTTTTGTGAGTTTTACACAGATTCCCGAAGCCCGAGCCCTGCTGCATTCCCACACCAGCCCCTCCACTACCCCGCAGCCCCCATCCGGAGCCCGTCCAGGGTCTCTGCTGGGCCTGCAGCCCGGGGCCGGCCTGTGAGCGCTGGCGGGAGGAACGGGGCCCCACGAGGCCGGAGGAACACAGGCCTTGGACAGTGCTGTGGGGACGGAAACGGCACCCACTTTGAGGATGGCTGTGAAGATTAAAGGAGGCGATTTGGGGAAAGCCCAGGCACGGTCCACATTCAGCGCAGAGCTGGACACGGCACAAGTCCCTGCCTCCGAGCCCCCTCTCTGTGACAGCATGGAGGGTCACATTGTAAAGACTCAGGACGATGACTCATTTGTGGACAAGGCCTAAGCTCTAGGACAGCTGTTTGGAAAATGGACAGGTGTCATCAAACCTGCAGGAGCAGGCACAGGGACTCTCTCTGCAGCCCGAGGCAAGGAAGGCTCGACCCCCGCCTTCCCCGGCGCACAGTGGGAGCTCCTTACCTTTCGAAGATGATGCGGTTGTTGTCCTGGAGGTCAAACGCCAGCCGCTTCATCTCCTGGCAGAGCTCCTCCATGCTGTCCAAGGCAGAGGCAGGAGGGGCAGCTCAGGCCAACGTCGCACTGCCCAGACCCCTTCCCCGGAGGCCTGGAGGCCCGGCCCCCACCAAGGCAGCCTCTGCATTCCTGCCTCTTAGGCCTGGCAGGAGGCAAAACTCCTGGGGCCCTAACCTTAGCACGCCCTCCCTCTTCCGCTCCCCTCTTCCACACTCCCCCTCTCCGGCACTTACTGGAAAATCAGGTCCTTTGGCATAGGACAAGGAGCTACGGGGGCTGGTGAGGCTGGGGCCCCCTGTGTTCTGTCCTGCAGGAGCTGGTGAGACAGCCGGTCCAGGATCTGAAGGGAAGCCGGGCTTTAGTCAGCTCTTACGAGCCAGCTTACGAGTGGCTGCGTAGGGCTGTGCTGAGGAAGGGCGAGAAGGAGATAACAACGCTGCCCCCGGTCTGCACCCCTGGCCTGCCCAGAGCCCTCCGGCCTCTCCCACCTTGCCGAGGCTCTCCTGGGCTCCCTGGGCTTCGGTGTTGCAGGCGGCCACGGAACAGCCCACCAGGCGCAGGTGGTTCCTGGTGTCGTGCACCACCCTTGAGAGAGCAGATAAAGGACTGGGATTAGAGCAGGGCTCAGCCCACTCTTCCCCGGGGCCACCTGGCTGGTGTCGGGTCACCACACGGACACAGATGGGTCCCAGGCATTCACCCCGATCTCGGCCTCTGCCCTTCCAGCTGTGGCCTCACCTGTCCCCTGCCCCTTTGCAATAATGCCGAGGAGCGTGTCTGACAGAGGCCAGGAGGCGCCCACCAGACCAGAGTGGGGAATGCTGGCAGCATGCGCGTGGCTGGTGACACATGCCAGCTATGGTGGGCGTGGCACAGGGAAGGCTGGAGAGAGGCAGGGAACTTATACGGGGGATGGCCCACACTCCTGTTTCCAGTGTGACTTCCTTCTCTCTCTCTAAGTGGAAGGAGTGAGTGAAAACACCTGCCCCAGCCCCAGCGCCGTCCCCCCAGCGGCTGGTCCTTAACCCTGCTACACATTAGAATCACCTGGGAGAGCTTGTCGCCTCCTGCTACCCCAGCCCTGCTCCAGAGAAAGGAAACCAGCATTTGGCCTGGGTGGGGGTGGGGAGCCGGGCGGCGGAATTCTGAGAGGAGGGTGGGGAGGGCCTGGGCCTCCGCCCCGTTACAAGTGCACAGGTGGCCTCACTCAGAGCCCGGCACACCTGGGAACTGCCCTCTCTTCTCGGGAGCGGCCCGTGTTCAGGCAGGCAGGGGAGGGAGGGCAGGCCTTGTCTGGGAAGGGAGAACCCCAAACTCCTGAAGGGGACAGTGTGAGAGAGGGTTCTATTTATGGGTCACTGCCACCTGTCCTTATCCCAGAGGGACCTTGTGTTCTCCCTAGAGAGATTCCCCAACACGGCCAGCTGGCCCAGTGGGAAGAAGAATCCAGATTTTAGAGGCCGACATACCACGTGCTAGGGTTGGGTCTGCCACTTACTAGCTGTGTGAGGAACAGGCCTGTTTCCTCCCTGCAGAGTACGGTGCTGATAACTACTGCACAGGCAGGTGCTGTGGGATTCAGTAAGCTGATGTGTGTGCACTCGGGCACACAAAACCACTCACGTCCTCATACTCCTTCACCGGCTCCTCCCTCTCCACCAGGGCTCCGCAGAGCCCAGGCCCTCTGAAGCCTGGAGCGGCCAGGCCGGGCCCTGGGACCCCCGAGCTCAGGAGGGGCCGTTACCTCATCCGCTTGCCATGCGTGACTAGGGACGCCTGGTACTTCTGCACACACTCCTCCTGGAACACCTGCAGGAGCCTTTTGGCCAGGTGGCTGAAATTCACCCTAGAGCGACAGGGAAGGCAAGGCTCGGAAGTGAGCAGCTGGGGCCACCTGTGCACACGCCTACACCCCCCCCCTCCCCCGGTCTCCAGCGTCACCGTGGCATCAGTGCCCAAGCCCTGGGCCCACAGCAGGGCTGGCTGTGTCTCCGGGGACAGAGAGGACAGTCACACACTTGGATAGCGAAGGGGAGAGGCCAGCAAAGCACACGCTTCAAGAGGGAGACCCAGGCCCTGGGGGACACACCCCCTCTAGCTCAGACCCCAGAGGGCAGGGCAGAGAGACAGTCCATGGAAAGGTGTGTGTGTGTGTGTGTGTGTGTGTGTGTGTGGAGGGTGGGCGGATGGGTGTAGAACTGGGGGGTAAGTCTCCAAATGGCCATGAAATCAGGGAGGGCCTCCTGGACAATGAGAATGTCCCGGAAACAGAGGAGCAGGGGTCAGGAGCAGGAAGTGGGCAGCAGTAAATCAGTGAGGACAATCAGGGGCGCAAATCTGCAAACAGTCCCATCCGTGCAGGAAGTAAAGCCAGCTACATCCAGATTGCTTCTGGGGAGCCTCCGTCCACTGGCCCCAGGTAACCTGGCCCAGATGGGGTGGCCCTTAGCTCCGCCACAGCCTGGCAGGGTCAGGGCCCTTCCTCGCTCTGCCCTGGCGACACCCACCCCCCGCCCACCCGCAGGCCGGCGGACGGGCCACTCACTTATCCAGCTTGTGAATCTGCTCCTCGTTGTAGCCAAGCCCTGAGGGAAACAGACAGGACCGAGGTCACCTACTCAGCCGGCCAACGGGACAGAGTGCCTCGAGGGTCGGGGGACAGTTACAAAGAGGAAGACGGCTCAGCCTGGGCCCTGCTTTATGGAAGCTCACGGCCAACAGATCGGGGAAGGGGAGAGGAAGGAAATAAGTACCCGAGGGCGATTGCATTTGCCTCCAGAGGACTCGGTAGGTGAGACGGCCCTGATGCTCATGTACTAGCGACATGCTGCCCCCTGCTGGGCTTCGTGGGAATTGCCCTCCAGGGTTGAGGCAGCCCCAGGATGCAAAGGTGGTGCAGGTTGCTCTGTGGGCCAAGAGCAGAACCCCCTTCCTGGGCCCTGTGCACCGCCAGCTGAGAGCACTTAGGAAGTCCAAGAGACGCGGGACAAGTCCCAGCCCGGCCTCCTGTTAGCAGGTGGCTGTCGGCAAGTGACTGCACCTCTCTGCACCTGCGTCCCCGTCCTCACAGCACATGACACAGGACTCCAGTGAGGACCAAGGGAGGAGCGCCTGGAGAGCCACTGCCCAGCTTAAAAAGTGGAACCTTCCAGCACTCTGGGTGTTTGCAGCGAAGGGTGCATTTTGAATTTTAAGAAAAGACTCTTAAAGGCCAGGGGAAGTCAAACTCCGCTGAGGCTGTCAAACGGGGTGGTCAAAAGCAGCTGGACATAGATAGCTTGGGCCACTTAGCTCTTGCTGTGTCTGGGTCTCAGTTTCCTCCTCTAAGAAATGGGCAGGGAAATGGAGCTAGAGTTTCTGTGAGCATTAAATCACTTAGGAACGTGCACAGGCCCTAGGACGGTGCCCGGCACGAGGGGGGCGCCCAGTTTAGATCACAGGATTGTGGAAAAGCCACTGAGATGCTCCTAAAATCACAGCAAAGGGTCCAGCTGGATACAAGGCGCCGGGTCTCCCGGGAACAGGAGGGACCCGAGTTCCCCGCCTCCTGCGTCCTCCCCCACACCCTAAGGGCAGGCTCAGAGGCAGGGTGGCAGCTCCCAAGCAGAGAGAGTCACTTTCCAGATCCTTGTGTCCACTACAGGGTCGGCAGGCACACAGAGCTACCGAGCACTTGCCACGGGCTGGTGTGACTGAGGAACTGAATTTTCAATTACTCTAAAGCTTAAAACAGAAGCAGTGTAAACTATTTTTTTCCCCATTAAACACAGCTCTGTTATTTTGGTAAGACTATGTTTCACTTTGGTAAAAAGTTAGCTTCCCAATACAGATGTGCTATAAGTGCAAAATATATGTGGGAATTTGAAGGTTTAGCACACACACAAAAAAGATCATAAAGTATGTCTTCAGTAATTTTGTTTATATCGATTACATGCTGATATGGGACTTTGGATATATTGGGTTGAATAAAATATATTATTAAAATTAATTTCACCTGTTTTCTACTTTTTAAAATTTGGCTACTAGAAAGCTTAAAATTACATATGTGGCTGGCGATTATAGTTCTATGGAATGGTGGTTTTTAGATAATCCCAGGGATAGAAGATGAAGCCCAAGACCGTCAGGCTGTATATTAGGAGATGTTTAGCGCATTGGAGGGGAGCTGGAGGGTTGGTTCCTGGTATCGGAGGGGGCCTCCCCAGGCTCCCTCCGACCCCATCACTAGCTCTCCCCTGGGATGACCCTGCCCCATGATGGCAGCCACCTCGGGCAAGCGGCTCCCCTATCCCTGGGCACGTGAGTGGGCTGCCCCTGCCCAGAGGGTCTCTGCGAGCCTTGTAGATAACAGCCAAAATGCCTGGCCCAGTGTCTCGAAATGGGACTTCTCCTGATCCCCCCTTTTCTAGAAAACCTGGTTATCTCAGTGTTCCAAAGACACAGTGCCCAGGGCGACTCTCTTTAAACAGTAAAGTGCTCTGCCACAGCGAGGGGAATATTTTGCCCTCCCCGTCGGCTCACCTGGCCTCAGCCTAGATTTCTTGAACTGTTTGTAGATGAGGTTCATCTTGTCCAAACAACACTGAATCTGCTGGTTGCTATGGGCAGGAGAAGGGACCGGGTGTTGGAAGAGTCACACGGCACAGAGTGACGGTGAGGGGGGAGTGGGATGGCATGGGAGGAGGGGAGGAGCCGTCTCCCTGCAGAAGGAGCCTCACTGCCACGGTTTTGGGGGCCATTCTGGAGTGGGGGTGACTGCCCTTTCTCCAAGCTTATTTGAGACCCCCTGGAGCAGCCAGCACCTCTCACCCTCATGGTTTATTCTCTCTCTCTTACACACTCACACACTCACACTCACACACACACACACACACACACACTCACACACACTCACTCACACTCACTCACACTCACGCCACCAGTTAAGTAAGAAAGCCAATCAGGACAGGCAGCAGGAACTGGCCTTTGCTATATAAGAAGGCTCGAGAATAGACCCCGAGAAGGAGCCCAGGCCCCTGAAACCTAAGGGGGTCTGGACGTGATGGCTGGGGACGGAGCGGGGCAGGAATCTCTCTCCGGTCACCGGCAAAGGGCAGCAGCGGGCAGCTTCTTGGCATACCCAATGCCTGGCACAGAGAAGAATCTTAAATACTGAATCAACAATCCTTGTTTAAAACAAGAATGAATCCACCGTCCTCGGTCCTGCCTGGAGGTGGGGAATCTGGAAGGTGACCTCTCAGCGACCTTCTCAGGCTGGGGTTTAAGGTCACGATCGGTTCTTCCTTCCGCTTTTCAGGCTGGATGCAAACACACTGAGAAGTCGGGTGTGGGGCAGGGGAGCTCTTCCTCACCCTCAGGCCTGTGTGGCTCGCCTTCCTCCCTCGAGCACCTCCGAAGGACCCCATCTCCGCTATTTCTGGAGCTGGGCTCTGGGCAGAGGACAAGCGTGTTCCCACCTGCCCCGGGAGCCTGCCCTGCCAGGAACACTGGGGCAGGGGACCAGGCGGCTGGGATGGGGCCTCAGACCCACAGCCTGTGTCCAGAAAGCTCAGGGCCAAACTTGTTCTGAATTCAGAATCGTCTCCTGATGTCAGAAAGGCAATTCAGGCCAGGCGCGGTGGCTCACACCTGAAATCCTAGCACTCTGGGAGGCCGAGGCGAGAGGATCGCTCAAGGTCAGGAGTTCGAAACCAGCCTGAGCAAGAACGAGACCCCCATCTCTACTAAAAATAGAAATAAATTATCTGGACACCTAAAATACATAGAAAAACTTAGCCGGGCATGGTGGTGCATGCCTGTAGTCCCCGCTACTGGGAGGCTGAGGCAGCAGGATTGCTTGAGCCCAGCAGTTTGAGTTTGCTGTGAGCTAGGCTGATGCCATGGCACACTAGCCCGGGCAACAGAGTAAGACTCTGTCTCAAAAAAAAGGCAATTCAGCACACCCAGGGCATGTTGTGGACCAGCCCTGGCAGGGTCTGGGCAGCAATTCCTGATCCAATACATTCACACCTTCAGAGAACCATGGGAATATTTGCCCCAAGTGGGATAAAGTAAGACTATAAAGAGATTCATGCCAGTTTGGGTTAGGTTTTGCAGTTAAAACAGTTGAGAAAAAACCCTGCGGTTTTCAGAGCTTTTTGAGTTTAGAATTGGGGTCGTGGGGCTGTGGATCTATGCAGGCTCCGATTGCAGTGGGTGTCATAGAAAACGTTTGGGGGGCTCTCCCTGGGGCAGCATGCTTGGGGATTGGGGGAGGCAGGGCTCTGCACACATCAGACTGCGGGGCGGGTGGGCGCTTTCACGTTTGTTAGAAAGGAGAATGGGGGCTTCGAGGTTGTGAGTCCCTGCCTGGGCTGGGCCAAGAACAGAGGCTTAGGAGGCGGACGGAGCAAGGGAGGAAGCAGGCTGACTTCCACAAGGGCTCCTGGCACTTCCGGGCTGCACGCCCCCCTACCCCACCCCACAAAGAAGGAAAATCCCACAGACCTTCTGTCCTCATGTACCTGATCCCGGCTCTTCGCCAGCTCCGAGCTCAGGCTGCTGAGGCCCGCCTGGGTCTCTGTGATGTTTTGGGAACATTTGGAGAGGACCTCAGCCAACTGTGGGGCGAAAGGGAGACCCGAGTGGGACCCTCAGTTGGGGGTCCGATGTGCACGCTGGCAGGACCACCGCCCCGCCTCTGCCCCTGAGGAGCCCCCCGACCTGGAGCCCCACTCACAGTCCGCAGCCTGGACCTCAGCTCTGCCACCTCCTGCAGCTCCTGGACCTCAGGCACCCCAGCCACGCTGCTGAACCTCGGAAGCAGGAGAAAGGCCACCTTTAGGGGCTTGGGAGGCAGCTGGAGAGCTCTGGGACTGCACGCCGGGTGTGGCATAATTTTGGACAGCCTTGCTGGCTTGCGGGATCTCTGGGGGTTTTGTGCTTGGGACAGAGGAACCAACTTGAAGAGGGCCCTGCTCACCAAAGTCGTGACATCGTTGAGCATTGCAAAGAATAAAGTTTGAGGTGGCTTGAAACACCTTGAATCTATGAAAATTCATGAGCCCATGATGCAAGGCAGCTAAGAGTGAACTCCTTACCAAGAAAACTTGTAACTAAAGGGAAAGAATTAAATTCTTTTCTGGCAGAAACTGTGTTTTCTGATAACCAATAGCTTGCTGACGAGGGGAAAGCTGTATTTCGTAGACTACTAGCCAATAATGTGCCAGAACTTGGAACATTAGCGTCCTGCTGCCCTAGTAAAATTCTTCTCTTGGGTACAGTGTTAAAATCAACGATGAATGGTGAAGAGGTGGACATCTACGTGGTGATACGGTAACACCACGCTGCTTCTTTGTTTTGCAGGGAAAATGGAACCGCACAGTAGAGCGATCAGATTGTCACCTCCCCCCCCCCAATGCTATGTTGACATGAAGTGCCCAGCATCGTCTATGATGTATTCCAGCAAAACATATTCAACCCGAATCCACCCTGCCTTTAGAACTCCCAGTTTGCAGGAAATGCCAGGACAGAAGAACAAGGCAAACTTAAGAGGAAGCTCTCGGTGAGTCCAGAAGGTAAGACAACAAGGGACAGGTTGCTGGTGTCATGAAAATTGGGGTGGGGGGAGGGAGGGGCAATTTGTGCTCCATTCAAACAGACTTAACCCTTTGCACTCGGATGTCGAGTGTGACTCGACACGGTTAGCAAAAATTATGGAGATTAAAATTACTCTCTGAGTGTATCAATAATTTGAAATATAAAAATATCCAAATAAATAAGTTTGTATGAAAAGAAACTCCAGTTTTTTATTCTACTGCCGCACTTTGTAAAATCTGGGGTATTTAAAAAATTAAATCCCTAGTAGAATAAAGGAATCGAGAAAAAAGCGAGTGCAAAGGGTTAAGGAACATCATAACCAGATACACAGTGTGGTCTTAGACTGCATCCCAGTTTGAACAAAGCTAGCTATGCAAGGAAATTCTGGGGACAATTAGAAAAATTTGAATGTGAAGTGGGTCAATTAGATGAGATGAAAATGCATTGACACGGAGGGGGGAGCTCATTTGCTGGGAAAAGCAGGTTATAAAACAGCAAATACACAATAATCTCATGTTGGTTAATGTATATACTTATACAGTAGGAAGATATCTACTAAGGTGTAATAACCTATCTCTGGGTGGTAGGATATGGTGTTTTTATTTTCTTAGTTTTACTTATCTGTCTTTTCTAACATTTTACCATTAACATATACTTTTTTTCAGTAACAATAATGATTTAAAAAAGTATCTGGTATATTTCGGCCTAGCAAAGAGTTTAGCACATAGTAGTTACTCAATGCATGATTGTTGAATGAATTACTGAATGCACGAATGGCTTTTAGGGCATTTAATACTTGATGGCAGAGGAGGATGAGGCTGACCCAATCCAACTGAGCAGGGAGTCAGTTGTTTGTTTTTTGAGACAAAGTCTCACTCTGTTGCCCGGGCTAGAGTGCAGTGGCATCAGCTCACAGCAACCTCAAACTCCTGGGCTCAAGCAATCCTCCTGCCTCAGCCTCCCCAGTAGCTGGGACTACAGGCATGTGCCACCACACCCAGCTAATCTTTTGTTTCTATTTTTAGTTTGCCCAGCTAATTTTTTTCTACTTTTAGTAGATACAGAGTCTCAGTCTCGCTCTTGCTCAGGCTGGTCTCGAACTCCTGACCTCAAGCAATCTTACCGCCTCAGCCTCCCAGAGTGCTAGGGTTACAGGTGTGAGCCACCACGCCAGGCCAGGAGACACAGGTTTGAGTCCTAGTCCTAGTGGCCACACTTGCTACCTGCATGATGATCTTGGGTGAGTCACTTTAGCTCTCCAAGCCTCGGGTTCTTCATCTATAAAATGGGGAGACAAATTTCCTTCCTGCTACCTAATAAGGTGTCTGTGGGAATCAAATGGGACCTCAGAGACAAAGGTCTTGGCTAGAGAGCACATTTACACAAACACACACTTTTGGGGGCGGGGGTGAGGGAAGCCCTGGGATTCCTGAAGCCAGTCCCCGCTGAGCGGTGTCTCCGGCTAGCAGCAGCTACCAAGGCAGGCCTCGGGACAAAGGCAAATCTGCCCTGCCAAGGGAGCAGCCTGGGGAGCCTGAGGCAGGAGGAGCACCGTGGGGCAGAGGTGAGGAACCAGGCTGGCTACTGGCAGGCCATTTTGCACCAGGTGTTTGGACTCCTGCAAAAGTGACATTCAGCTCATTAAAGTACCTGATTCCACTGGGGGAGGAGCTAGCGGCTTTGGACCTTAGAAGGACCTGCAGGTCTGAGAATGAGCAGAAAAGAATGGGATTGCAAAATGTTGGAGCTGGGAGGCCTCAGAGATCATCCAACCCTCTCGTTTTGAAAAGGAGGACATAGAGGCCCAGGTAGGGAAGTGACAATGGCCTGGGGTCACACCGAGAGCTGCTTGAAGAGATTGCACCTGGCCCTCCGACTCCCTGCTCGGGGCTCTTTCTGCTCTCCGTCCCCTCCTTGACTGAGGCTGCAATAGGCTTCGAAGCGGGCACTTGTCTGACCTGAGTTCTCTAGACCAGGGTGCAGAATGTGGTTCCGGGGACAGATGTGGCATCATGTCACGCAGAGAGGCCCATGCTCCGAGTTCTCTAGACACACCACGCCTCAGAGCCAGAGTGGGGGAACCGCAGCCAGCAGACCCCAGGACTCCAGACCTGGGCCCGTGGGCCACCACCCACACTCCCGTCAGTCCAGGCCAGTGGGCAGAGAGACGCCCCGAATGCTTTCTCTGCACATCTTCCCAGAAGGAGAACCTACAAGGCTCCCTACTGGTCATTTTATTGGGGTCTGACCTCCTTGCATGCCCTCCTCCGTCCCTCTCCGGCTCTACTCTGGGACGTTTGCCATCCTGGCTATGGCTTTGGCAAGTCTCACCTGCACTCCCTCCCTCCGCCAACATACGGCCCCCTCTCTGTCTCTGCACAGACCTTCCCACCTGAGGTAGTCTCCTTCCTCGGCCTAAACAGCCTCATCTTCCAGGAAGGCCTCCTTGGTTGCCCTGACCCATCTCTAGTCTCCCCCTACGCAGCCAGCCTGTCAGCCCTCACACGCCTGGGAAGGGCTAACAGCTCCGGGGAGCATGGGCCTCTCCGTGTGACACGATGCCACATCTGTCCCCGGAACCCCGTTCTGCACCCTGGTCAGAGCTCTGCTCAAGGAGCTTCACCAGCAGCTCTGCTGAGTGACCCCTGCTCTTCGTCACCGTTTGAAGGGGGCTTAGCCACGAGCCGGACTCCATCCATGTCACCTGGAGACTCCTCTTCCTCCTCTCTGCACCCCACCTCCCCCCGCCCCTCCGTCCGTGTTGCCTCTGCCAGGCCCGAGAGGCACTCGAGGCTGCAGTGAGTCGGACCACTGCCGGGAAACTCCCTGCACCTCCCTGGGGACAAGGGCTGGGGGTGGCGGGTGGAGGGGGGGCCTTCAGGCATGCTTGGCAGTCTCTGATCCTCTGTCCCCAAGACTCCCACCACCTGGCTTCCTCGGGCTGCAGAGCTCCCACCTCTCGCCCATAGCGTGGCCCGTGCCTTCAGGACCCGGGTCAGTGCCCGCTTCTCCACAGTGCCCTGGCCACCTCCTGTGTTCCCCATCCTCAGGCCCTCAGCTTGGCGTCCTCTTCCTCCTCGGTCTCCCTTTTCATCCAGCCCATCCTCCCTAACCAGACCAAGACAGGGGAGTGGAGGAAGGGTGACAAGGATTGGGGCAGGGGACCCTTAGAAGGCAAGGACATGTTGAAGACCCAGAGGAAGCAGGAGAAGGGGCGTGGAGGATGAGACCACCTGGATCTCCAACGTGGGTCACGTCTGGGCACCGTGCGTGGGTGTGAGTCCTTTCCCTAGACACCTGCTGCGGGCCTCGGTGCAGGGTGAGCACTCAAAATCATTCAGAAAAGAGCCTGGCAGGACAGAGGCCCCTTCCTGGGCCAGGGAGGCTGCTTTGGGACCTGGAGAACCCGTGCCCCTTGTGCCCCCCCAAGTGAGGGCCTGGGTTGGGGGGAGAGATATGGAGTCATCTGGGGCAGTGGGGGGATGAAGGACAGGGTGGGGGCCCTCCCTAGTCCACCAGGACTGCAGGAGAGCTCTGGGTGGGGAGGCGAGGTGCAGCAGGGGTATCAGGGGTGAGGAGCAGACAGACAGCAAGGCTGAGAGGCCCCAGCTGGCCCGGGCAGGACACCTACCTCTCGGTGCCCAGGCTGCTGCTGAGGAAGAGGAGGGCTGTCCTCGTGACCTCTAGAGTCCGCCTGCACGTGGTCTGGAGCACCTCCCTGCCCGAGGGGGATGGAGTCAGAGCCACCTTGCCCAGGGAGACCAGGGACGGGGACATGTCCCAGGGCGGTACAGAGAGGTCACGGCGGCCGCCTCGACCCCCCCCAAGGCACTCACGCCGCCCAGTGCAGCCCGCGCAGCATCAGCTCCTGCCCGTCCAGCAGGGCCCCCGCCAGCCGCAGGGCCTGGTAGCCGGCGCCCAGCACGGCCTGAAACACACAGGTGGGCAGGGGCAGGTCCCACACCTCCTGCCCCCCACCCCCGTCTGCACCCCTCCCTGCCACCGGGGGGCCGCCCCTCACCTTGGCTGTGTTGTAATCTGCCTGCAGGTCCACTTTGGGGACAAACTTGGGGACGTCCAGGGCAGCTGCAGATAAAGACCCCTGTCTCAATGGCCTGCCTTTATGGTTCTGGGTCTACTCCGAGCTCACCTTTCGCTATTTGCAGCTGACACCGCTCACCGCCAACCCCACACCCCCGGAGCCCCCCAGCTTCCAAGCCTCGCACCTAAGACCTGTCTTTACCGTGCGGTCCTTCACTGCCACCTTGTGGCCACTTTGAGAACTACACCCTCATGCCCAAGGGCCCCTCTCAACAGCCAGAAAGTGGACTAAAACCACCCTCTTGCCCACGTGTTTCCAGGTTAATTCCAGAGAAGAGGACGAAACTGGCATCATTCAAATGAGAGTGAATGATGTTTGTGCTATAACTTGGAGAAAAGACAAAGCTCTGGACCCCTGACCACCTTCCAGCAGTTTGGGCTCCTGCTTCCTCCGGCACAAATGACCTGAGGCAGAGAGTATGTTAAATCCGAATCTCTCTGTTCCCACTGGAGTTCCCCCCCCCCCACAGCCTTGTGGATGCTGTGAAGCCCAGAGAGGTCAAGCCACTAGCCCAAGTCACGCAGCATCTCAGAGGCGGCTGCAGAATTAGAACCCAGCTCTGCCGTCTGCACCCTGTGGGCCCCAAGAGACACGCACGCACGGGGAAAACCAACCAGACTGCAAACCCCTGCCTCCTGGAGGAGAAAAGACCCAGCCTGGGTGGCCCTACTCACGGTCCCTGAAGGCCAGCCCCTTGGGGGTCTCGCTGGCCATGCTGAAGAGGGTCAGGGGGCTGCTTGCCGTCGTGTGGGCGATGTGCTGTGCTGACAGGCTGGGCTCGAGGACACAGAGGTGGCCCTCGAAGAGGTACTCCTGGTGCCGGGGGGCCACATTGGTCTGCTCATACACGGCCTCCAGGAAGATGGCTATCCTAGACACGGCAGGGGGAGGGGTGGAGGGCAGGGGGAGGCGTCAGCAGGCAGGACGCAGGGTCAAGGTGCCCTAAGCCCCTGATAAGACTTTGCTCGTGAACAGGGCTCAGTGTTTTGGGGGGTGAGTACTGGGGTGGTTTTCTCTCTCATCAAGGGTGGAGAGAAAGAGCAGAGAGTTCGTGTCATATGAGTAGATGGAGACAGGGTGGGGACAGAGCCCGGGAGCCCCGGTAACCCCGCCTCTGCCCCGGCCCCTCCTCACACCACACTCCCGTTAAAATTCACCTAGTCCCACAATGCGCCCCAGGAACGAGGGTTGGTTCTATGGGCAATACATTTAGAAAACGTATGGTCAGCACACAGGCGCTTCTCAAATGCATGGTGCATCTTAGCCGCGCAAAGGTGCGGAATCTCTGAAGTCCACGCCAGGAAACCTGTTCCACTTTGTGAACTAGAGTTTTCCCAAACAACCCGTAGGTCTAGACCTAGAGGTTTCATCTCTAAACACTCCCTAGCCCGTGCTTTGGGAGGTGCCCCTTCTGCCCGGGTAGGGGTCCTCGTGCCGCCCCCCCCCCCTCGCCGGCCTTACGTGTTGTGGGCGTGGATGTAGACGTGGTGCAGGACCGCCTGCGACAGGGAGAACACGTGGAAGACCACACGCTGCAGGATGTCGCTTGTCTCCGCGAAGAACTGGTCGAAGCCCCAGCACTTGGCCTGCTCCACCTCCAGGATGTTGGCCAGGATGGGCACCAGCTGGCTCTGCAAACCCCTGCCCTCCCGGGACACAGACACCGTCAGGGGCTGGGCCCCAGCCGTGTCCCCGAGCAGGTGACAGGGGCAGGAGAACGCCCTGAAGATCGAGGCCGGGGTGGCCGGGGAGGGAGAGCCGGAAGAACATGTTCCAGCATCCGGGTGGAAAACCTGAGGCCGCAAGGACAAGTGTGGTGGTGCCCCAGCCCTCAGTGTGCCCGGGGCCCCGCTGGAACAGGCCTGGGACATCCTGGCTCAGCAGAGAGAAGTGACAGGCAGCCCAGACTCGAGCATCGCCCGCCCAGCAGGGCCACTCACTTCGACAGGCGGCAGGTGACGGGGAGGGTGTAGCTCCACTCCAGGGGCCCGTTCTCCCGCCTCTGCGTGCCCGCGATGGCCCCGGGTGGCTTCTCCGTGGTGATCCGGTGCCTGGGGTGAGGCAGGGCCGGGTCAGCAGGGTCCCAGACATCACACCTCCAGGAAGGACAGACTCAGCAGGGAGGGCTCAGGGCACTGGGTCCTGTCACCCAGCCACTCTACGGTCACCAGGAAAATGGAAGTGGAGAGGCCCCAGCTCCCAGCCGACGAGCTCGCCTAGCCTGGGAAGTCCCCTGCCAAGCACTTCGCTTAGGCAGAGACCTTTGTCCTGTCCGCTGCCTCCACACCTTCGCCGGGGCGGTGGCTGCTGCCCGCAGAGTCTAACCTTCCCTGACAGCCTGTCCGTGCCAGCGTCCTGCCCCTTTCCGGAAGCCAGAACAGGTTCCGCTCGGCTCGACCCCTAGGCTGAGGGTGGCCCACCTCAAGTCTGCCTTGTTCTGGGCAGGGCACTCAGGGACAGCAGCCACTGTCTCCAGCCACTTGCTGCGCCCGTGCCAGCAGGAAACCAAGAGGGACCTTGGCCCTGGGGACCGGATGCTGGTTCCTGGCCCACTTTTGACCCCCACGCCAGGCGCTGTGACCTGGGCAAGTCGAAGGTGGGGGAACATTCGAAGGCTCCCAGCAGGCCACGGGCAGGGCCCGGCTCCGCCTTTGACCGACAGTTTAACAAAGGACGTATCTACCGGGAACCTGGCCGGGGCTTGGAGCGCAGGAGGGTGGCAGAGTTCGAAGGGGGAAGAGGGGATGCAGCAGGGGCCAGCAGGGGAGAGCCCAGGGCCGGCCCCCCTCCTGCCTGGCCCGCGGCCCACCGTACATGATCTCCTTGTTGCGCCGCGGCCCGCCGAAGGGGATGAAGGGCAGGCTGCCGGTGGCCGCGTGGTACAGGGTCACCCCGATGCTCCAGAGATCCACGGTCACCCCGAACGCCTTCTGCTGGGGCTTGCGAAGCACCGCGCGCTCATACATGTCGGGGTGCTGCCGGGGAGGGAGCCGGAAAGCAGCCATGGTGGGGGCAGGCAAGGGCCCCTCCACCCACAGGTGAAAGCGGGACTACTCAGAACCCTGCTCCTTTGTCACCTTAAAAACCGGCGTTCCTTTCCTGGGGGGCCACCCGGAGCGTGTCCCCCTGCCCCGCCTCGCCCTGGGGGTGACGAGTGGCCCCGTCCCACCTCCTCCCAAACAGGTCCTGGGGGCCCCTCGCCAGGCAGGCCGGCCGGGCAGGGTTCTTCTGGCTGGGTGCAGGGGGTGAGGTGTCACCCTTCTGGCTGGGGTGCAGGGGGTAAGTGAGGTGTCACCCTTCCGGAAGTGGGGGGTGGGCCGGCCCCCTCCAGGGGGCTCTGAGGGGTCACGGTGTCCCCAGCGGCTCACTCACCAGGTACTCCTCGGTCCCGTAGACCGAGAGGAACTTCTCGTCGTCGTCCAGCTCCCGGGCGGCCCCGAAGTCGGTCAGCTTGTAGATGCTCTGCCCCTCCTCCCCCACCAGGCGCATGATGTTCCCCGGCTTGATGTCGCGGTGGACGACGCCGTTCTCCCGCAGGTGGTTCATGCCGGCCACTGGGGACAGACGGGGGCTGCTGGGTGGCTCTGGCTGGGGACAGTCTGGAGCCGGAGGCCTGTCTTGGTGGGAGGCCGTCCTTGCCTCCCGGTAGACAGGGCTTCCCGAGGGCTGACGGGGCCACGGGACAAGCAGGGAGTGGTGGTGGGCTCGGGGACAAAGGAGGGAGCCCCAGGGGCACTGGGCACGCAGACTCCAGCCGTCTTCTCTAGAAACCAAGGGGGTGGCGGCTCTGCCTCCCCCAGGCCCAGACCCCTTTGTGGTACTTATTTAACTGTGGTAAATTATGCAAAACACAACTTATCAGTTCAGCCATTGTTGGGCGTACAGTTCGGTGGCGGTAGGCTCATCGTCTTGCCACCCTCACCACCATCCATCTCCAGAACTTTCTCATCCTTCCAAACAGAACCTCTGTGCCCACGGAACACCGCTCCCCAGGCCCCTTCCCCGCCCCTGGCACCCGCCACTCTACTGTCTGTCCCCATGAACCCCGAGTGAGAGGAATCGCACGGTGGTTGTCCCTTTGTGACCGCTTATTTCACTTGGCATGGTGTCTTCCAGATCTGCCCATGTTGTGGCGTGTGTGCGAATCTCCTTCCTTTTGAGGTGGAATGATATTCTATTGCACATATGCCCCCCATTTCGTCTATGTATTTAGGCCCTTTGCACCCTCTGGCTGTTGCAGACAATGCTGCCGCCAACGTTGGTGTTCAATCTTTTTTGAGCTGGAGTTTTAAACCGAGTGATTCGCAGGGACCAGACAGCCGGGTGCTGCCCAGTAGGCCTGCCCCGGGCCTGTGGCTGATGGGGGTGCGGCCGGGCGGGGCGGGGGCGGGGCGGGGGCTCACCCACGCAGCGCAGCACCACCAGGAACTCGTCCTCGGGCAGCCCGAAGGCGTTCTCGGGGCTCTCCAGCACGCTGAGCAGGCTGCCGCTGGCGCAGTACTCCATCACCAGCACCTTCTGCCGGCCGCACCCCTGCGCGGGACAGAGGGGCGTTGGGAGGGTGCGCTTCCCCTCCCCGCCCGTCAGGAAGAGGTGGCTCAGCCTAGAGCCCCCACTCTCTAGGGGGCCTGGGCTCCCCTCCTCGGCCTCACACTGATCCCACACACTGGAGTCCAAGGCCGCCTTCTCCGGGAAGCCCTCCCTGCTTAGGCACTTATTCCGTCCCTGCATTCCTCGCTCCCCTCTGCAGCTGGCCTGCTCCGCCTGACCCGCTGACGAGCAGGCCTCCGCTAGTGCGTGGCTCGGCTCTTCCCCGGCTGGGAGGGCCAAGGCCAAGACCACCCTCTCCGACCCAGCCCCGCACCCACCGTCTCCTCGACGGCGAAGAGCTTGACGATGTTCTGGTGGCTCAGCTTGCGCAGGACCTCGAACTCCCTCACCTGCACCTCGCGGGGCCGCAGGTAGCTGGCGACGTTGAAGACCTTCACGGCCACCAGCTCCCCGGATTTCTGCCACGGGGGAGACAGCAGGGGCATAATACAAGTCTCACCCCGCAGGGGAGCAGCCACACCCCAGAGCTGAGCAGACAGCCGGTTGGAGGGGGGCTCCCAACCTCAGCTCCTTCCCCTACTTGGGGGTAGATGGTCCAGCACCAGGATGTGACAAGGGCTTGGCACACCTGACACCTGCAGAGGGTGGCTGTTACTGTTATTATAGGCCCCTGACAGTAACTGCAATGGCAGCCGACACTCCTGGCGTTGGCAGCAGAGCAGGGATTGGAACCCGGCCTGTCTGGAGTAGCGCCTCTTAGATTCTTGCAGGAAAAATCCAACACAAGTGCTGCTTCCCGCCTCTGCTATTCCTAATCCCATTGCTGTTACCTCCCTTGGATGCTTGCGTGGTGACTTCATCTTTCTCTTGTCCCAGCTCGTACCTGACAGAGGCACCCTCCCGGGGAGCCCTTTCCAGCTCCTCACACTTCTGCTCAAGCCCATGGTGGCCCCTTCCCCGGACTGTGCTGAACCAAACCCAGAGGCCCCTGTCCGGCCGCGAACCACCTTTGGAACGCCCTGGGGGCCGGCTGGGCCCCCGTCCCAGGGGCGAGGGGCCATACCCCTACCTTGTTTCGGGCCTTGTACACGCTGGCGGTGGCGCCCTGCCCCAGCAGGTCGTCCGTGTGCCACAGGTAGTTGACTGTGCTCTGCATTTCCTCTCTAGGCTGGGCGGCCACCTCCCACCTGAAAAAGAACGTGCTAGGGGCTCAGGGTTCCATTCCTGACCAGGGGTGGACACTGGTGACCAGAGGCCATGCCCCAGGACCACCTCACGGAGGGCTCCGCATGGCCATTCCACAGGCAAAGGAGCAGGGGAAGTGAGGCACAGAAAAGTTAAGTAACTTCCCCAAAAAGAAGCAGAGCACAGCAGCAAGATCCTCTGCCTGTCCCCCTCATAGGGACTTTGCCTGTCCTCACTCCCCAGGGCCCCTTGGGCCCCCTCCCCAGACAGGCCATTCTGCTGAGACAGACCGTCTCTGTCATCTCTCCCAGGACACTGAGAATTCTGGGTTTTGGCCTACAGGCCTGGGATTGTCCCAGGAAGCAGAACAGCGCTGGAGGAAGGGCCCTGGGTCAGGCAGCGCTAACCACACCACCACAAATCTCCAGGATTGCAACACAAGCCTGGACCCCCCCCACACCCCACCCACTCGCCCGCCTGCCAGGCCCACCACTTCCTGCCGCTGCGAGCTCACAGCTGCTGCTAGCCAGGCGGCCAGCACGGCCAGGTCCATCAGGGGGACAGGGTGCTGCAGGGTGTGAGCGTGTGTGTGTGAGTGTGTGTGTCAGTGAGTGTGTGAGTGTGAGTGTGAGCAGGGCTGGAAGAGGCAAGGAATCATCCCCCTAAGGGCTTAGGAGCTCCGGGGAGGATCTGAAAGCCCCTACACTCCATTCCACATCTTTGCCCTCATCCTCTTCTCTCCTAAGGCTGGTTCCTCCATAGCCACTGGTTCCAGAAAGTGTAGCCTCAGAAGTTAAACTCAACGCCTCTCTGGGAAATAGGGCCAGAGCTGGCCTTTTGGGGATGCCTGGGGCCAGGACCATAAGGAGGGCCACCATCCCTTAAATACTGTTAAATAAGGCTGGACTGGAAAAGGCCTCTTCCTATCTCGACATCTTATAAGTTCTCAAACAGAGGGTCCCTGTGCCTGGAACCCTATGTCCTTGGCTCGGAGCCTTTCCTCTCTGGATTCCTTTTTTAAAATGCAAATTCTTGGGAATGTCCCGTTCCTGAGCCAGAAGCCACACGAAGAGATCAGCAGCCAATTCCTAGTTTCAGGTACTGTACCAGTGTTTGCCTTGCACGGAAGGACTGGGGTCCGTGAAGGCTTCCTGAAGACAACACAGAGCTGGGTGTGACTAGGTCAGCCAGGCTTTCCCCGAGGCCGAGGGGTCAGTCTGCAGGTCTGGGATGCGGGGCTGGGGCAGAGCACGCGGAAACCACGGCAAGGCTCTGGGACTAGGGCGAGGAACACCTGAGGACGCTGTGGTGAAGGGCAATGTGGTGCAAAGGGCAGGCCCAGCACAGGCAGTGTGGCCCTGGTTCTGTGTCCAGGAGGTCCGACTGTGGCACAGATGTACCCGGCTCAGCCCTGCACACCCTGCAGCCCCGCCCCCCGCACCTGTGCACGGAGGGGCGCAGCAGCCTCGGTGAACCTGCCGACCCTCCCACCGCCTCCCCTCCCTGCTCGACCCTCCCACCGCCTCCCCTCCCTGCTCAGGCTCTCCTGTGGCCAGATGCACTCACCCCGCGCTCCGAGCCGCCCTGAGTCAGGCGGAGACTGTCCCTGGCGAGCGTGTCTTACTCGGTCTGTCTGTGGCGCGTCCAGGAGCTGAGCTGCACCGGAAAGAGGAGGGCGGGTGAGAGGCGCCCCTTGGTGCTGTTTGCTTCTCAGCCTCCATCAAAGGCCACCACGGCCCTAGCCCTTTGACCCTTTCCTGTGTGCCACCCTCCCCCACAGGGCTGGGGGGTTTCCAGCCCTGATCCCTGGCTGTTCCGGGAGACTGTCCTGGCCACTCCTACTGCTGGGACTCTGGTGGGGGAGACAGACCCAGGAGAAGCGAGGGAAGGCACTAGAAGCTGCCCCTGCCTGCAGGTGTGGGTGAGCAGAGCCCAGGGAGGCAGCATCATCCCCATGGCCTCTGTCCTCCGTGCCACAACCCTCCCTGCCGCCCACTGGCCTCCGAGCAGTCCTTTCCAAGAGTGCCAGCCGGAGAGGGAGTAGGGACACCACCGACCCCCAGCAGCCACAGAGAGACACAGGGAGGGGGCGCTGGGCCTGGATCACTGCTGCTGCCACTGACTGCCGGCACCTTGCGCTCAGCTGACTTCTGCCCTGCCACTGCCGGCTGCCAGCTGCCCCGGCCTGCTCCTCCCACCCCACCCGCCCCCCACGGACAGACGCTGTGCACTCACCCCATCTCGGCTGCAGGGGACTGGGTGGCACCCCAGAGCTTTCAAGGCTTTCTGTCATTCATGGGCGGTGCTCCTAGCATCCTGGTAGCCACAGGCCCCTAGGACCTGCAGGCAGGGCAGTTGAAACGGCCTTGTGCCACCCCTAGAGCGGGTACTCCTGGGTTTCTCCTGCCTCCCCGCTCAGCACAGAGCCCTGGCTCTCGGCTCACTCACACTTCCTGATTTCGTTCTCTCTCTCTTTCTTTCTCTCTTAAAGAGACAGAGGCAGCTGAGTACAGCCACCACTTCATCAGGAAGGAGAAAGAGGATACTCTGAGTTCCCAAGTGGAGGTGCAGGAACCAGAGTCTGAGTCACAGAGAGGCCAGGGACCCTGGCCCTGATGGCGGGGGCTGTGGCCAGCCGGCCAAGGGTTGCTGTCCCCTGTCTCCTGCAGTTCTCTGGAGCAGGGGTGCTCAGGCTTTGCCCAGAGTCAGCAGAGCGGGTTGGGCAAGTTAGCCAAGTGGAGCAGCCTGGGAAGACCAAGTTCCCACACCCAGGAGCCCCAGGGAGGTCCAGGACCTGTGCCTAGCCAGTTCTTGGAGCAGCTGGATCTGACTCAGCTTTGCAGGGAAGAAGAGCAAGCACTGGAACCCGGGTGATGCCCTCGGGCATGGCCTAGAGCACAGCACACAGCCAGCTTTCTCACCCAGAGCATGAGGAGGGTGACACTCACGCTGTGGGTGGCATGGATGGCAGGGAGCAGTGTATTTGGAAATGCCTGGCAGGCTGGAAACTGATTTACAGACAGGCATTGAAGGCACTGAGGCCTGCACCGCCTCAGCAATTTGTCCCCGATCTTCAGAGACTGCTGGGGCTGGAGCCCAGGTGCCAACTGCCCAGCCAGGACTCAGTGCCCCAGATCGAATGTCCTAGGGGACGGGGGAGGTCTGTGCCGCTCTGGTTAGCTCTGAGATAGCAGTTGGATATGAAATGGTTAAAACCAGGAAATTCCATGTTTCTATAGAATGTTGGAGGGACTTTCCCATGGCCACACCTGGTGGTTTCCTCTGCCGGCCCCACCCCTGCCATAGCGACACCAGAACAGGAACAGAGCTGAGAACTGTCTCATCCTCAGATATGTGTACCTGCTGGGGACACCGGCAGCCCGAGACATTGCTGCAGGGTCTTGCAGCAGAACCAGAGCCTCGTGTTCCACCCAGTGTTCCCAGCGCTCCACAGAACTGCACTTTCTTGGCACCCCAGTCAGGGGGGAGCATGTGACTTCCCTACCACAGCATTTACTTGCTGATGCAACCCCCCCCCAGCTCCGCCCTCTGGCAGGGTGACTATCATGAGCAGAGCCCCCCTGCTGGCCCACAAGGGACATTTGCCTTTGGGAAGAAATCTACTCTTGTCATCTTAGGCCACTGAGGTTCCCAGTGTAGCTTATCCCTAAGCACGTACCTATTTCCCCATGAACCTGCTGGGTCCTCCCCAGCGTTCTTCCCTTCCTCTCTGTAGCACGCCCAATCTCTTTCCTTTTCTCTTTTCCTCATTGCCCGCAAAGACGATGCGTGTCCAGCTCCCACCAGGAAGCAGGCACTGTGTGCTGACATGAAGGCGAGACCTAGGCATCCCCCCAGGAGTCTGGGGGCCACGACAGCATGGGGATGATGTGAGACACACACTGCAGCAGCCAGCGAGTTTGTGAACCCTGCCGGCGGGAAGGGGCATCGGAGGAGGAAGGTGGTTACGCAAGGCTGGCCAGGAGAAGGCTGCCTGGACTTTGGCGAGAGAGGAGTCAGGTGCAGAAGAGGGAGCTGCAGGGAGGGATTCCGGGCGGCGGGCGCATGCGCAGAGGCACAGGAGTGTGAGAAGAGCTGGACCACGGCTGGAGAGGAAGGGGCGGGGGAGGCGGCTGGGACAGATCAAGTTCCCTTGGGCATCCTCTGTGAGGTGTGGATGAAACGAGGCAATGCCTCACCTGGGCCCCAACTGGGGGTTCCATCCCGGGAGGGGCAGGAGCCTGGTGGGCTCCCAAAGGGAAGGAGAGTCCTTAAGAGGCCTCGCCACGTTTTCCTGAGTGGCTCTGAGGAGTCATAGGAACAGAAGTGGCAACCCAAAGTCCTGCAAGGACCAGAGGCGGGAAGAGGACGGTCTTCGATGGCAGCTCTCAGGGACAACTTTTCACGTCTGCCTTCCACAGACGGGCTGCGTGGCGTAGGGGGAAGGGCGGGAGCTAGCGACGGCCCCATGGCGGTGTGAGTCCTGAGTCTGCCCCTTATTCTGGCCGACCTTGAGCAAGGCGCTCGACCCTTCTCATAGAGTCGGCCTGAAAACAAGAGACGAAGTGCCTGGCGCCTGGTGGGCTCTGAATAGATATTAGTTGTTTTTTCTGCCCCTGAAAACAGGGCCTGAGCCAGTTTTCTCAGCCACTCACCTGCCAGTGCCTTAGGGAGAGGGGAGAGAAGGGTGTGTGTGGGGGGTTATGTGGAAGAGGCTGGGGGTGGCATTTCAGGGCAGTGTGTACTCCCTGTGCTTGGTCACAGGTCTGAAGGGCTCAGTGACGAGGTCTCAGAGCTCCTCACCGCTTTCAGGAGTCAGTGCCGGCGGGGAGCTTTGGGTGCAGGAGGGACACACATTGCAGCCAGGCCTGGAGCTGCTCCCCCGAGCAGCCGAGCAGCCGGGGCAGGAGATGCGGGAGCAGCATCCAGGCCACTGAGGAAAACTGGTCCCCGCACCCTCATGTGTCCTCTTTCCTAGTGTGGAAAAGCAAGTAATTCAGACTCTCGACTCTTCAGAACTCCTCCGCAACATTCCCTCCCATGCTCTCAGCTAACGAACTTGAAATAAAAGCGGCCATGGAAAGGGAACTCCTTTATTTTTTTATCCCAACATCCGCCGCCTGCCTTGTGTCTGTGCTCAGACACCTGCCTTCCTCCCACGAGACAGGAGAAAGTGCTTCTTTTTTTTTTTGAGACAGAGTCTCACTCTGTTGCCAGGGCTAGAGTGCCGTGGCGTCAGCCTAGCTCTCGGCAACCTCAAACTCCTGGGCTCAAGCGATCCTCCTGCCTCAGCCTCCTGAGTAGCTGGGACTACAGGCATGCACCACCATGCCTGGCTGATTTTTTCCTATATATTTTTAGTTGGCCAATTAATTTCTTTCTATTTTTAGTAGAGACGGGGTCTCACTCTTGCTCAGGCTGGTTTTGAACTCCTGACCTTGAGCGATCCTCCCACTTTGGCCTCCCAGAGTGCTAGGGTTACAGGCGTGAGCCACTGTGCCAGGCCAGAAAAGTGCTTCTTGAGACTTTTCTAGTGGCTGTGGCTAACCCTTCCACTTGTGCCATGTAACCCCCCCCTCCCGCCCCCAGCATGCTCATTCTTCCCATCCTACTGGGTCCTTCCCACCGGGCAAACATGCCTCAGTGTTGTCCATCCTCAAAGCAGAGATCTGGCCCCTTGACCCCTCTCGATGCTCCCCATTCAAGAGCTATCATGAGTTACTGCCTCCTCTTCCCTTCCCATCTGCTGCCTAATCTAGTCTCATTGAACTCATCTCCCCTCTCCCCTAAAAATGTTCTTGTCCAGGTCACCAAATGATTCCCTTTCTACTCCAGCCTCATCTCACCCCAACGGCATCCAACAGTTGATCCCTCCTCCTTTGTTGAAACATTTCCTTCTCTTGGTTTCTGTGACCCTGTGTTCTCCCAGCCACCTACCTCATTGTCACTTGCTCTTTCTGCCTTCTTCGCTGGCTCCCTCTCTCCTCTGCTGGATTTCTAATTACTGGGACCTTCTCTTTATTCCACCTACACGTTCTTCCCAGGACTCTGTTTGAATACAGCCATGGCATAATAGCTCCTAATATGTTTTCAGTATGATCTCTCCCTACAACTCCAGATTCATATATCCGGGTGTCTGTCTGCTATTTCCACTGGGATGTCCACTAGTCAGGGCAACCTCACCACGCCCAGCACAGTTCTTGATTGCCTGCATTGCTCCTTCCTGCCATAACAGCCTTCCTGGCACTCACTATCTTATTACATTGTTTCAGAGTAACAGTTATTTTGCTTTATTTATCTGTCTTCCCTGATTAAAAAGAAAGCTCCGTTATCTATTTCTTCAGTTTGATACTATATAACAATACTTGCACAGAGACGATTCAAGTTTGTTAACTGACTAAATGAGTCTTTAGCATATGCAATATGCCAAGGTTAACTAACTCCTCAGTAGACGGTAACATCACATACCTATGGATATAAACATTTAGATTAGATCATCTTAAAGACTGTTTCCTAAATTTGTACCTCCCAGATCTCCTTTTTTGGTTTCTATCTGGATGGAATGGGCTTGGGTTTTGACTGTGTCCATTGCCACTAGTTTCCGTCACGATCCCATCAGGATATATGAGACGAATGAAGAGGACCCAAAACGCATGGCCCGCCTTTGCCTGAGGACCCTCCAAAAAGGCTCTTTGGTCCTCTGCTCACAGCCTAAGAACTGGCTCCATCTCACAGTGACCCTGGGGTGTTCTGGGCCATCCCCACCCCACCTCCAGGCAGGGAGTGAGAGCTATTCATACCACAGGGTGGCACTCACACAAGGCCAAGGCAAGAGAAGCTCGAGGGGTAGGTATTCCTTTAAAACAGGGGTGGGTAGGGGAAGATGACGGATTGTAAGAGCATGACAGAGCTGAATGAAAGATAGAGATGACAAACCTCAGAAGCGGATGTAAAGTGTCTGGCGTGAGGCTGGGGGTAGGATTCCTTGTGTTACCACTATACACAGAGTACCCCCTTGGACAGAAGAGATGTGACCCTTCCCTGGGGCATGTGGTATCAGAACAAGCCAATGAAAGATCTAGGATCTAGGATCCATTTGGAGTTGTTACCTTTGTATAACTGTACCCTTGAACTTACGCTCTGCTAGAATCAAAATCTAACGGAGAGAAAGCATCTCCTTTCTCCCCTACCCCCCCAACAGTGCCGGCATATTGGGTAGCTCTTCTAGGGTGGTGGTGGTGGGGGGACTGCAGAGGGGAGAATGACTCAGGGCTTTGGTTGTGGAAGAAACAGAACTTCTGGTCACCTTTGGTTGTAGCTGGCAAAGTTTCCAAGTAACTTCTTAGGCCTCACTCCTCCCAAGTGCAGAAACCTGAATGGAGATAGAAATGAGAACAGTGCTCACTGAACACAGGGAAGGTGGATTCTGAGAAGGAGATGGTTCTCATGGCAACAGACTGCCCAATGGTGAGCCGGCAGACTTTCTACAAAGCCTCTTAGGCTCCACCATAGGCTGAATGGAAATGCAGGGCAGGGGTGAGCAGGGTGGGGGGACCCACGTTCTAAATGCAGCTCTGCCTGCCTTGGTGACGAGGGAGAAGGTGGCTGGCTCTAAGGTCATCTCATTTCTCCCTGTTGCCAGGCAGGGCTCTGTTAGCACAGACGAATCAAAACCCCTCCTGGGCAGCTGCACTCCTGAAGCAGTGATCTCAGGGAGTGAGGAAGGGATATGAACTGCAGCATCGAAACCTAAAAATGTATTTTATTTTGAAGTTGTGCTTTGGATTTTCCCCAATCCAACATCTGTTGAGTGACAGTCTTAGGTTCACACAAAGCATCTCCAAGCATACATACAATATTCCAGTTATCAACACTATTGTAAAGAATATGCCATTTTACACAAATGTGACATACAAGTCAGACGCCACAACATTGCAATTCCCTGGAAGATCTAGCTTCTCTTCTGCACGTGAAGTACATACACACCAGCCCTTCCAGTGCTCTGTTCGTCCTGACGCTGGCGTCATGGCTCCTCATCTTCTTGGGGAGAAACCAGGGCGCCCTGAGGAGGTTGGCTGAGACCAGTGTTTCCAGTTTACAGGCTGCTGGCTACAAACTCCTCTGTGTTTCCAAGTTGGGATGCTGGTAGCCCCACCCCACCTCTCTTCCCCAAAGACTGACCCTTCAGCGTCCACACCAGGAAAAGGATCCACGCCACGAGGGGCAGAGCGGGGGCTCTTTGAAGCATCATGCTGGTTTCGGCAAGCATATCTGAGGAAGACTGGTCTCCCTAGGCCCTGGGTGGCCAGCTCCATTTGGCTTTTCGGTGTAAAAATCACAGTGTGTAACCTCAATTCCAGTTGATCGTGGTGAAGTCTGCCGAGAAGGACTCTCCTCCTATCGGTTCCTCGTCCTCTCGACAGGACCATCTCGAGGGTGTCAGGAGCACCAGAGATGGGGAAGATAGCTCTGCTCCCAGAGTTGGGTTGAGCAGGTGGCCATTCACACTGTTCAGTTCATGACGCAAATCAACAGCAGATGGACACTGACCAAGGGGATGGTGAACACGAGTCATGTACAGGGTTGAAAGAGAAATAAGGCAGGAGCAACAGAACAGGCCCAAAGCATTGTCATTAAGAAAGCTTTGCTTTTACTTTCTTAGAGGGGAATAGGCTGGAGAGAGGGGGACAGGGCAGGTGTGGGTGCCAGTTTTGATCAGTTGGATTAGAAGGAATGTAAAGTGAAGGGTAGGGCTTCATTTCTAGCAAGGAAACAGCTCCTTGGGTATGGAAGCCCCCTGTTGGCTGAGGACCTGTACAAGCCCAGGTGACAGACCAGTAAACGGAGCAACAAAAGCCAAGAATCCAAAGGATTGTAAGTTGCCCCTTGCAGGCCGACTTGCTTTACAGAAGGAGTTCTTTGGTTCTCCCCTTCTAGCTCGTGGAATGGTTTCTCTGGTGCCAGAGGTTAGCTTTCTCAGTGCCGGCTTCCCACCAAGCTCCCCTTTCCCTTCACACAGAATGAGAAAAAAATCCTACCGCATTCTCTAGATCCAACTACCAACTTTACAGCTTGGTCCAAAAAGGATCTCTTCTAGGTGAAAGATAAGAAAATAGATTTTCCTACCTGAATGGCAACCCACCATCTCTCCTGAACTACAGAAGATATAATAATAAGGCTAAAATAAAAGCACAGCTTTAAAACCAGAAAACATAGAGAAGAGGAATGAGTTTTAGCTTCACTCAAGTAGCAGTCTGAGATCCATGAGCCTGGATTTCTCCAGTCCTGGGACTCCTGGGGTAGCAAGACGCTAGGGGAGCCAGGACCACGGGCAGCAGGTTTGCAGACTGAATTGGAGCAGACAAGGGTACCATTTTTGCAGTTTGGAAGGGAACCAGAAAAAAGGCCAAAAGAGAACCAAACTATTCAGCATCTAATTTTTAATTTTTGTTTAGATTCTGGCTTTGGGAAGGCTTTAGAGCCGGTGAGGTCAAAGTACCCTTAGTTGTCCTTGTTGGCATAAATGGAAACTGGTTTTAAGGGACAGTGTCTCTCTTTAATCTAACTAGGGCTCTTAAGCCTCTGTTGGTCCCCGAGGAGAGACTTTACCAAATAACCAAACTAAGAAGTGAACTTAAAATAAGTTTTCATTTGGGAATGATTTTTGGGTTAGCAAAGCTGAATTCAATTTTGTAACAGAAGAATGAATTTAATGTTTTAAGTGCCAAAAGCAACAGTAGGAGGAAGAGGGACCCATTTCTTACCTTTTCCAAACCTGCCACAAACACAATAAAACTCCCTTAAGACTCTTTACCCTAAAAGGAACCAGCTATAAAACTGTCTTATACAGGAAAATGTCTTAAATGGAAAATGGTCCATCA